ATAGAATAGAATAGAATAGAATAGAATAGAATAGAATAGAATAGAATAGAATAGAACAGAATTCTCTTATTGACCAAGTGTGACACACAAGAAATTTGTCCCTCAGTGTACATACAAACAACAAAGTGATAGGTCACTTTTTTGTCACTTCCCATAAGCAAAATAACATAAGACAGCTACATATTTGACAAATAAATTCAGTTCTGAAATGACAGAATATTGGTCACCTTTTTACATATCAAGTTTTATTCCTTTTCTGTGTTAGCCACTGTAATATCATAATCCTCATAGAGCAGTTACTGTCTTCTTGAACCATGAATCTTAACGGTAAGAACCATGAATCTTAACGGTAAGCCTATTAAAATCAATTTTTGCTAAAACACATGTATACTTGTTATAAAATTAACATAAAACTTACCAGTACAATGTAATATGCATATAGAGCTAGTACATGGTGAGTTACAAAAAATACATCCCCAATTGCCTTCCAGTGCCAAATAATAAGCAACAAATCTAAAAAGAAATAAAGAACAGGTAAATAAAATTCTACAATTATTATATTTTATTTTAAAACTTCTAATGCAGCAAGGCAGAGAGAAATTTACTTCTCTTTTTCTGTTATCAGGATAAAAATTTCCAAGTTGCCCTTGCCAGAACATCAAAAATAGAACCCTAAGCTTTGGCTTATGATCTCTTACCATGTAACACTGATTTTTCCTAGGGATATACCGTATATACTCGAGTATAAGCCGAGTTTTTCAGCCCATTTTTTGTGCTGAAAAAATCCCCCTCGGCTTATACTCGAGTCAGATTCCCCTCTGAAAAAAAAAATGGTGTGGAGTCGCTGCCGCCGGAGCAGCCCCAGTCCCGCCGCCTCGGGAAGGGAAAGGCAAAGCGCTTTTTGCCTTTCCCTTCCCGGCTGGGGCTGTTGGGAGTCGCTGCCGCCTGCCTTTCCCTTCCCGGCTGGGGCTGTTGGGAGTCGCTGCCGCCGGCGCGGCCCCAGTCCCGCCGCCTCGGGAAGGGAAAGGCAAAGCGCTCTTTGCCTTTCCCTTCCCGGCTGGGGCTGTTGGGAATCGCTGCAGCCGGCGCGGCCCCAGTCCCGCCGCCTCGGGAAGGGAAAGGCAAAGCGCTTTTTGCCTTTCCCTTCCCGGCTGGGGCTGTTGGGAGTCGCTGCCGCCGGCGCGGCCCCAGTCCCGCGTCGCCTCGGGAAGGGAAAGGCCACGGCTTGGAAGGCCGCCGCTGGAGTGAAGCTGCGCGCAGCCGCTGCGCTAGCATCGGATTGGGCGCGCCGGATGGTTCCGACCGAGCCCCGAGCGTCGTCTTTGGCGCCCGCCCAGCGCCGCGGAGCTCCCTGTACCGGGAGAAGGGGAAGACACCCCCCCAGGGGCGGGGCAGGGAGAGGAGCTTCTCCCGCCCGCCCCTCTTTCCGCGCCCACCGGTGTCCCCGCAGGACGACCCCCACCCCGCAGTCGCCGCCGCTTGAAAGAGACGGGCCGGGGGTGGGTAGAAAGGCGCCGGGCGCCCTTGGAGAAGGTCCCGCGTTCGCCTGTCTGCCCGCGGATGTCAGCGGAGCTTTGCCGCTGCTTCGTCCGGGGTCTCTGGGCAAACACGTCCACCCGAGCGGGGCTTGTCGCCTCCGGCATGCAACGAGCGCTGCCCTCGGATTCCCTGTCCGGTTGCCCCCCTTTTGAGGGCGATGGCAGTAAACTGTTCCCGTAGCAGCGGCTGCTCCTCTTTCCCGGCTGGGCTGGTGAACGAGGCTTCACAGGGCACCTTCGGCTCAGCAATTCTCTCCGCCGGAGCGGCTGGTCCCGGGAGGCCGGCCCCTCTGCCCGGAGGGGCTGGGGGGAGGGGGCTCCGGTCCGGCCTTCCGAAGCCGTGAATTCGTCCCTCTCACTGATACGCCTGAGGCGCCCCTGGTTGCCTTGCCGGCTGGTTCCTCCACCACAGAGCGAAAGACGCGCTTCCCTCGAGGAGAGCAGGGGATGCGGGTCCTGAGGCAGCCAAGTCCCCCCAAATGCTCGCAGTCCCACCTGCCAGCCGGACGGTCGCCGCGCTCCCCTCTGGACTCTGCCGGCGCCTGTGCCCTCCAGAAGGCAGGAGGGTCACCCGGGTGGTTTTGTTTTTAGCAAACCTGAGAGGAGCACCAGGGTGGGGGAAAAGGGAACACGTGACTACGCAGGAGCTGTTCTGGGATTCTTTCCTGCTTCTTGTGCAATCTCACACCCCTCCCGAGAAGGGACACCCTGACCCCCATTTGGGACTTGCGCCTGACAGGGGCCTGATGGAGTCCAGAGCTTTGGAAGTCATTCATTCTTCCAGGCTGCACATGAAGGACATGAAGAGCTTCCAGGCTCTTGAGAAGGGGGGGGAGAGAGGCCAGCCTGATGAGGTCTCTGCTCCATCTGACCCTGGAGTAGTGGGGTAGTTGTGATTGCAGGGAAGCCAGGCAACAAATTACAACTCTGGCCTGGCGGGTTGATTCAGACCGCCCTGAAGGAGGACAGAACCCACGTGAAGTTGTGATAACATTCAGAGCCAAAAACAGCCCCCACCCCTCTTCGGAGAACCCAGTAGTTCCCACCAAAGAGAGGGCGAGGGTGCAAAGGCTGGTCTGAACACAGCTCAGATCTGGCTTTTTAATCAGAGCCAGGGGAGCCCCCTGAAATGCAGGTCCTGGGCCGCATCCTGATACTTTCCTTGGTGCTCCGGGCAGAAGTAACTGGCGTGCTTCAGTCACAGTTCAGCAGAACACCCCACTAAGTACCCCAAGGTTTAGTGAACCATAAACCACTGTTGGCTCCAACAAGGGGACAGGCCAGGAAGAAGTAACTGGGGTTTAGTAAATCTAGAATCATTTTAATCCCAATCCAGATTGAATTCATACAGTCCATACAGTCTTAACTCTGCGAAGCCTCGTTCACCAGCCCAGCCAGGAAAGAGGAGCAGCCGCTGCTATGGGAACAGTTTACTGCCATCGCCCTCAAAAGGGGGGCAACCGGACAGGGAATCCGAGGGCAGCGCTCGTTGCGTGCCGGAGGCGACAAGCCCCGCTCGGGTGGACGTGTTTGCCCAGAGACCCCGGACGAAGCAGCGGCAAAGCTCCGCTGACATCCGCGGGCAGACAGGCGAACGCGGGACCTTCTCCTCCAAGGGCGCCCGGCGCCTTTCTACCCACCCCCGGCCCGTCTCTTTCAAGCGGCGGCGACTGCGGGACGGGGGTCGTCCTGCGGGGACACCGGTGGGCGCGGAAAGAGGGGCGGGCGGGAGAAGCTCCTCTCCCTGCCCCGCCCCGGGGGGGTGTCTTCCCCTTCTCCCGGTACAGGGAGCTCCGCGGCGCTGGGCGGGCGCCAAAGATGACGCTCAGGGCTCGGTCGGAACCGTCCGGCGCGCCCAATCCGATGCTAGCGCAGCGGCTGCGCGCAGCTTCGCTCCAGCGGCGGCCTTCCAAGCCGTGGCCTTTCCCTTCCCGAGGCGACGTGAGACTGGGGCCGCTCCGGCGGCAGCGACTCCCAACAGCTCCAGCCGGGAAGGGAAAGGCAAAAAGCGCTTTGCCTTTCCCTTCCCGAGGCGGCGGGACTGGGGCCGCGCCGGCGGCAGCGACTCCCAACAGCCCCAGCCGGGAAGGGAAAGGCAGGCGGCAGCGTCCCAACAGCCCCAGCCGGGAAGGGAAAGGCAGGCGGCGGCGACTCCCAACAGCCCCAGCCGGGAAGGGAAAGGCAGATGGCGGTGTCCCAACAGCCCCAGCCGGGAAGGGAAAGGCAGGCGGCGGCAACTCCCAACAGCCCCAGCCGGGAAGGGAAAGGCAGGCGGCGGCGACT